AGGGAAGGAGAGGGCTAAACAGAGTAAGTACAATATTCTTTTGGGGGTGTTGAAATTATTCTGTGTGATACAAGACATTATGCATTTGACACTGATACATGAAATTATGCATCTCTGATGTTAAATCCCACAGAAATTTATAGCACAAACAAGGAACCTCAATGAATGCAAAAGTCTAAAGACATCATTCAGGAGATTAGAGGTCCCCCAGATGGGACACAAAGCATAATAAAACAATTTAACTATATTATTAATTTGTGATATAGTCTTAATGAGGGAAAAGATTCTTACCTAAGTAATAAGAAATGGGTGAAGTCTCTAAGACTAAAGCCAAATTAAGCTAAATATATGTACTGTTCTCCAGTGGGTAAAGTTGTTTCCCTCATTAGATATAGGTTAAAAATTCCAATTTCACTAAACAGCTATGTTGGAAGAGAATAATTAAGTAACTGGATGAAAGATGATGGGAACCAGTTTTCTCAAGATTTAATTGAGAATTTACAGATGAACAAGTGGTAGAGGCTAGAATAATTCACATGCTAATGAATTAGAGTTGGAACCATTAGTATAAACTTAGGTTTAATTTATTATAAATACAAATTTTTACATATTTAAAAATTTATAGAAAGGGCTTAGAAGATATTATACCCAACTATAACCAATGAGTAGCAACAAATATCCCAAGATGTAGATATTAGTTTCCAGTTCATTTCCCCAATTAAATGTCCATGAATTCTGGAAAAAAAATATCTGATACTAGTCTTGGACAATAAGTACACAATATGTGTGTGGAACATTTTCTAGAACCAGAAATTAAGGAAGTGCTTAAACACACAGATGTACATGATGGGGGTATGCTAAAGTGACTGAGGAGCCAATTTAAAGAAGTCTTAATGGACAAATTGAAACATTTTGAAGGACAAAATTTTAAAAAACTGTATGGATTATAAAACAAAATGCAAAATTAATATTTATGAGTTTATACATGATATAGACAATTGGATAAACAGATACGTGTGGGAGAATAGACATGTCTTGTGTAGAAGTCCACATAATTTATATGGCTACCCTGCTCTCAAGAATTGGAGCAAAACTCCTCACTCCTTATGTGATAGAATACAATACAATAACTTTCTTCTAAAAATACAATAACTTTCTTCTAAAAATACAATAACTTTCTTCTAAAAATACAATAACTTTCTTCTAAAATAACTTTCTTCTAAAAATAAATTTCTTCTAAAAAATATAGTATGGAAAGATGGAAAGCCAAATTTATGTGGAAGAACCTGACAAAGACTGTTAGGTCACCAAGATCAATATCAACAATGGTAAGTCATGTTGATAGTATGATATGTTGTGATTTTCTCTCTCTGATTTTTTTTTCAAGAACACTTATCACTAGCAAAACTGTGAAAAAAATCAGCTTTACCCTTCCCATAAATAGGGCATTCTAAAAAATAACCTGGTCACTACTCAGAATATAAAATTCATCAAAAATGAGGAAGGTAAGAAAAAGACACAGACAAGAGAAGCTTGAGACATGACAGCTAAATGTATGTCCTATCCTGAATAGGATCATGGAATAGAAAAAGGATGTTGGGCAAAAAATAAGTAAAAATGAATAAACTGACAACTTTTAATAATAATGTACCATCATTATTTCTTTAGTTGTTATAAATGTGCTATGCTAATGTTAGATAGTAAAAATAGAAGAAATTGGATATGGGTATATGGGATCTCTACTATCTTTGAAATTTTTTGGTAAATCTAAACCTATTCTAAAACCAAATGCTTATTTTAAGATTTTTTAAAAAAAGATATGGATGCGGATCCATAGTAGGGTTGGGGGGCAAGGGAAGAATGGAGGAACTTTGGATTGGGCAGTGGAGATTGAGGGCAAGGGAGGGGATATGGCGGTGGGAAAGATGGTGAAGTGAAATAGACATGATTACCCTATGTACATGTATGATTGCATAAATGGTGTGACTCTGTATCCTGTAGAGCCAGAGTAATGAGAAGTTGTGCTCCTTTTGTGTACACTGAGTTGAAATGCATTCTGCTGTTCTGTTAAATTAATTGAAAAAAATTAAAAAAGAGATTGTTCTTGACTCTACCATGCTCACATTCCTAGAGAAAAACAGGAGTGTGTGTGAAAAATAGCTGTAAAACAATGTGCTAAGTACCACAGTAGGATGCTAAAAGTGCCATCAATGTGAGGACTGCTTGCCTCAAAGAGGAGGTAACATTTTAGCTGTGCCTTGAAGAAAGCATAAACATCAGTCCTGTGATCAAATGGAAGAAAAATCCTTCCAATGGAAAAACAGTATGAGTAAGGGTTCACAGGAAGCATATATGGAGAACAGTAAAAACTTGAGTATAGTTAAGACTTAGAAAAGACAGTTGGGGGTAGAGATGACCCTGAGAAAATTTTAATTTTTAAATATAAGAATATTTGAAGTACCCAAAATGCTGGGCAGATTTATTATTCCATTACATGTGATATACTTTCAATAAGGGAAGAATCAGCCATTATCCCTAACAATATTTCCTGCACCCTGCACATTTAGACTCTTTAGCCAGAAATTTCCTTTCCACATATAGAATTTTTTTTTATTTTTAAAGAGATGTTCCAACAAACTTTAAAATATTTGTTTATCATCAGCTTAATGCAATTCCACTAAAACTTAATGATATGCTTGGAATAACATTTATATTAAGTACAACATAATGATATGACAATGATGTACAGAAAACCAAGATAAAAATACATTGATTCTTCATCAGGAACTTTCTACCTTTGTTGCTTTACTGAAGGACACAATTTATATCTTAAGTATTACTATATAATTTGGTTATAAAGCAAATGTGCTATATAATCACACGATTTAAATCAATGTTATACACTAAATATCTTCTCAATGTCCTTGTTAATTCCTAAAATGCATTTTAATACATAGTATTTTAATTCTATGGCATGGAGTTCTCCATTTACTAAGAGACTCATATGTACTCAAAATGAACTTTGTAATCTGTTTGCCCAAAAGTGTCACCAGTAATACTATTTAATATGGAATTATGGTAATAAGTTGAATGAATAAGTTGAAGAAAACTTTCATTATAACATTTACTAATTTTCTCTTGGATGTCAGGATTTAAATATTCTTTATTTTCTTATGAGAAAAACTATGAAATTTTGAACCAAGATTAGGAGTATAGTGTTCCTCAATATCATTTAGGATAGAAGAATTCTGTTCTCGGTTCTACCAATTAAGCCTTACGTAAATTGTTTGACCTTTTGGGACCGAATATCCACTTTCTGTTTGTCTCATATAGCTAACGATAAAGAGTTATAGTATTTCTAGAAAGGAAAACAATGTGCTTAACAAGGATGAATTCTACATTCAGAAGAATAAACACTAGAAATGCTTATTATTTCTATTCAGAATGTATCTGTTCCTTGATATTTTAAAATTTGTTTGCCTCAATTCCTACTGCTTGGAAAAAATTCTTCAGTATAAATAGAGTAAAATAATGAATAGAAAAAAATCTTCAATATTTAAGGTACAGCCAGATATATTTTCTATTGGCCCATTAAAATAAAGGTAAAATGATAAAAGTGTTGATTTGAATTTTTTTATACAGACACTATTCAACACAACAAAACTGAAAACCAAATGATTGCAAGTTATAGACATGTTTATGGTAGGTACATAATACAAATCAGAAATTAAATTTGTTTTTAGTATTCAACTCTATCATATTTTGCAAGTGTAAGTTGTTTACTATGTCTAATATTTATAAAAAGTATTGCCAAAGAGCACCTTATTTATTTAATTAAAATTTCCTTCTATCAAAATAATTATTATTCATCAATTAAATTCCATGAAACCAAAAGTAGTTTTCAGCTAATATATCATAACTTGGTGATTTAAAAGAAAGTGATTGTTATGAGATCTATATCACAAAACATTTTTGTATAGAGGAAAATTATTTTATGTGAATCAATAAATAAATCAAAGCCTCTTTGATTTAAATTAATGTTTTTATGATTTTCTAAATGTGTTTCATAAATATGACCATACTAAAAAAGTCATCACTCATCTCTCTCAATAAGAATTCTCAAATAATGTCTTTCTGTACTCAATATTGCTCCTATCACCCCCATCCTGGCATTTTCATATGGAACTGTTTTTAGAAAGTGGTTTTACAATAAAGTGAACAAAGTTATTAATACAATTGTATTCACAACCAAAATGATGAACATTTTGGTATAATCCTACTTTTACATACTTACTTTATACATAGTAACTTACATCATTTGATCCTTGCAGAAACCTCTATTAAATAAGGCCAATGTTACATCATTTTATACATTTAAAACTAATATTCTGAAGATTGTAGTGATTCAACCAAGATCACGAGACAAGTGAGTTGTACATTCATGACTATAGGCAGTGTTCTTAAAATTGTTCTTACGTCTTCCCACTTTAACAACCAGATACAGGAACAATGCTAGGTAATGCTTCTTACATAATTATTTTGTGACTACACCTACAACCACCAGTTCATAAGATCACATATGTCAGATTTATAGAGAGATAAATGAAGAAAAGAGAAAAATGGTTTTTCTAATTTGGAATGAAACAGAATATAGAGGTAGATTTCATACATTTTCATCACTCTAGAAAATGTTTCCCAAAATGATACCACTACAAAATATAAGCATAATTTTCTGAAATTGTAAACTCATTATTTCAAGTACTTTAAAAAGCTAGCATTTCTATAATTCCCTAAACACATTCTCTTTAACCTTTCAAATGTATTTCAGCATGAGATGATTTAAAAGCAAGTAGGAATAAATTTCACCTATAGGAATCCATTTAGCATTTGGTTGAGTGCTTTTTCATAGCATAGATTAAAAAAATCAATATGTAGCCCCAAATTTAACTTAAAATTATAATTTCATTACTTGCAAATGAAATACTAAAAACTGTGATTACCTGTAACAGTTAATTCAGTAGTTCTTCTCACAACAAAGCCTCCATATTTTAATTCACAGGTATAATTTCCAATGTCATCTTCTCTGACTTCTCTTATAAGCAAGGTATCTCTTTTGAATACAATACTTGGCCTCCATATTTTTGTCCTACATTCCTACATAAAGAACATAAACTTTGGGTAGTACATGTAGTATTGAAAAATAAGGTTCTTTAAATCACTATAATGGTAATTTCTAAACTTATAATTTTAAGTGACAAAAGTTGTTGAAATTAATGTTAAATAATTTCATTCTATTTTTAAAGCTCTGGGAAATCAGATACCTTAATTTGAAAACAGTATTTTTAGAAAGAGGCATGTTAGTAAGTTTAGCATCTCTACATTAGGTATTTACTTATTTATTAATTATGAGAAAAGATATATATGTTCATTATTCCTAACAATTTAAAAAGCAAATGCTTAACATTTGATGTTTATGAAATTAATCATACTGATATTAATAAGAGAAAACATAAAGTACATTATTTTAATGAAAAGTAGAAAGTTTTTAATTATAAAAATAGTTTAAATATATGAATGTACAAATATTTGAAATGATATTTAATTTAGCAAAAATAAAATCTCTTCATAGCATGTATATTCTATAAACCATTAGAGATATAGCCAACATTTTATGCCAGGGTTTTATACTCCCATAAATATCTATTTTCCTTTTTGATAGACCTACCAAATTATGGTTTCTGAATTAAGCTTTGGATTATAATGACATTGGCTCAGGAGATTTCTGTTTTTGCCAAAACAAAAGTCCATATCCCCCAGCCAGATTTGAAATCAATGGAATGAGGATAAAAAAATTAAAAAGCTTAACACCTTTGACGCTATTGAAAGAAAATACTATTTGTAAAAAATTTTATTGCCAGATCAAATTTTTGCATGTCATGATTTTATGTGGCTCAGTGCTTCTGTATACTTGTGAGGGGCAATTATCCAGCTATTTTATATCAAAATACACATTCTATTGTTCACAATAGTTATGTAAGTTGTCAAAACTGCATAAATCCTGTGCTGAATTATGGAATCTATATTTAGCCAGAATAATTATTTCATAGTATTCTACTTTCACATTCATCTTTCAATCTCAGCTATTTAGACTATAGATGTCAAGTCCTAATAATGGAAATATAATCTGAAATATAAGACTTTTAATTTCTACATAAATGTATCTCTACCAATGACTATGGTCTTTATAGCTTGAGGTCAAAATAATTGTGGTGATGGTGGAAACAAGACTAAAGCACCAATATGAACCCAGTTATTTTTAAATCAAGTGTGTGTCAGTGTATATAGCCTCTCATCTTTCAGCAAAATTTGAGATGCTCTTTACAGAAGGTGATGAAATATATAGAACTTGTAGAATCAATTTATTAGTTATGTATCTAGCAGCTTAATGACCACATAGACATAAGATTAGAACAATATTTGGTTTGAGAGAACTTGGGTCTAATTTCTCTAATACCACTCCCCTTGTAGCAATCATCAGGACTTGTTCACAATTTGCCTTTTGAAGGCATGAAAACTTCTAAGTATCAAGAATTAGAAATACTCAAATATAAAAATGAAAAAAAATAAATTAAAAAAACCACATTCCCACAGGAACAGAAATCACTGTTGCTAATTTTGAGTGCTGTTCAACATCTCTAGGAATAGAAAACAAAGGGACAAATTGAAAAAAAATTTCAACTGTTCCCTTGATCTTCTGAGTTCTCCATTGCCCATTATAAAGAATCAAAATTAAATCTTACTCAGAGAAGAGCATTGCTAATTTTGGCAAAATCCTTTTGAAATTGTTCAAGGTTTTTTTTTCTTGCTTTATTTTTAACAGATTTTGAATTCATGAGCAATCAGTTATGAGGGATCCTATTCTGAGACTGACATTTGTGGATCTAGTTATTAAGAGGCCCAGTTTCCTCAAGTCCAACTTCTAGCAAGTTAGACAAAGTATATTTAACATGAGGAATCTTTAATACACAGATAAAATATTCCATAGAAGTGTTCACATCAATACTCTATTTGTTTAGTACACCCAAAGCAAAAAAAAAAAAAAAACATTCTTACATGGCATAAACAAGCTTAAAAGTGTAATAAATTATGGAGTTTCAATGAATATTATTGATGTGATATGGAAAAAGGGGATTGGACTATATTGTCTTTGATTTTAAAGTTTCTTTTTGTTTTTAAAGAAAATAAGTTTAATACTATTTTTATAATGGTACAAAATGTTCTCAGATGTTATTTCTTTTAAATATGTAGGCTTATATATACATTTAGATTAGATTAGAATTTGGACAATGTTATATTCATTAATAGGAAATCCAATTAAAATTACTATATCATATTATCACAGAAGTAAATAAATTATTTTTCTCCTAGTTTGGGGGTATTTTATAATGCTAATATGAAGAGCTATTAAATCAATATTCAACATATTTTAATTCCTGAAATTATCAACCTATACTATAACAGAATTGAAAGAATTGTCCCTAAATAAGATATAAAAATAGCAACTTATTATAATAGAATACCAATACAAATGTTAACCAATATTCTATTTATTAAAGTCACAGTTTTTAAATGACCAACACAACTTGCTGTAGCATTCTAGGAAAACAGAACTGAATTATATCATACCTACTTAATTTTTATCAATTTTACCCAGAATAAGATACACATTAAATTATTTATAGGCAATAAATTCATTCACGATCCATACCTTATACCAAAGGATTTCAGGTTCTCTGGTTGGTAGCAAAAAATCCTCTATGTCACGGCATGAGATTTCCTTGCTTTTGCTAAGTTCAGCTTTTTCAAAGTATTTCATTTTGGAATTGTAGCAGAGTCCAGTGTCATTTTCACCCACTGTCAGTGAGATGGATACTTTCATACAGTAAGTGGAGTTTCTGTAACAAACAGAATAAATATGGTGACCCACTGTGAACAAAAATCAAGTGCTGCCAACACAGAGTGTTTAAATCACTCAGGAAAAAAAAGAAGGAGAAAGTCCATTGTTTAACTCATTTTATTTTTTTCTTGGCATATTATTCAGGGTTCCCTCTTGTCATGTAACTAAACAACACTTGGTCCTGTAATGCTAACTGTATATTTTATATTTGCCAGAAAAAAAAAGTTTTGTTTTATATCCAGGTTCAGTTTGAAAAGTATTTAATGGAGATTTTTTTCTAGAAAATAAAAGGAATAAAGGAAGATTTAGGTCAGGAAGAAAGTCAAGCTTGGGTTATGCTAAAATTGGCAAACTCAACAGAGAAGTAGAAAACAGACCTATTTTTTTAATATTTATTTTTTAGTTGTAGTTGGGCACAATAATTTTATTTTATTTATTTATTTTTTTTGTGGTGCTGAGGATCTAACCCAGGGCCTCACATATTCTAGGTGAGTACTGTACCACTGAGCCACAACCTCAGCACTGAAAACAGACCTATTAAGTACAATGAAAGGGCAGGATTAATGCTGCTCAAGACTTGCATTACTGGTTGTCTTACTAGTAAGAAATGTTATTGAGTCTGGGCAGAAAAATATTCTAAAAAATTAACCAGGCATGGTGGTGCACATCTGTAATGCCAGGTACCCAGGAGGCTGAGGTAAGAGGATTGCAAGTTGGAGGCTATCCTGAGCAACTTGGTGAGACCCAACCTCAAAATAAAAATTAAAATGTGTTTTAGATCTGGGGAATGTGGCTAAGTGGTGGAGTGCTTGTTTGGTATGCCCAAGGCCCTGAGTTCAATCCCCAGCATCAAAATAAAAAGAAAATGTGTTTGAGATGTAGGTCCTTGGTAGAGCACCCTTAGTTCAATCCCTAGTATACTTCCCAAAACAAAAAGTAAGGGCCAGGATTGGTAGTCCACACCTGTAATCCCAGCAGCTCCAGAGGCTGAGGCAGGAGGATTTCGAGTTCTAAGGCAGCCTCAGCAAAAGCGAGGTGCTAAGTGACTCAGTGAGACTCTGTCTCTAAATAAAATACAAAATAGGGCCAGGGATGTGGCTCAGTGATTGAGTGCCCCCCCCAAAAATAGTATTGTGAAATTATAATCTTTCCCCATCCATATATATTTGGCTTGAGACTTGGAGTTCAGGTTGTCAGAGAGAAGCATTCTAAAGTATTATAAGAACAACTCTTTGCTCATAGACCTATTCTACACAATTGGGTCATTAATTCAGCACCTCATTTTTTTTCTTTCCTGGCTCCAAAGTCAAGATTATAACTTGGATAAGTGAGAATAGGAATATTTTTTTGAAGAATTAGGAGTTAATGAGTGAAATTTATGTGTAAATTGCAGTACTTATGCTTGGTATGTAAGTCTGTGGCCATTCAATGAACACTGATAATGTTTTATGCATGATGCTGGACAATGGAAATAAATAAACATCAGGTATAATGTTTGGTAGAGAACTTTCCATTTGGTAAGAGTCCAACTGCTAATTTATGTAATTGGACATCAAATTTCTGTTATTTGAATTTTGTTTGTTGCTTATTATCTCTGCAAAAATGAGCAATTTATTCAACTCCTCTGAGCCTGGGGTGGGGTGAAGGACAGTACTTATTTGAGTATTACACGGGGTATTAATAGAACCCTGTAAATCCTGTCATAGGTACTCAGTGATGGTGATTCCTTTTTCCTCCACATCTGTGCAAATGGACCTCTTCTTTATGAAGTCAAGATTCTCTGATATTTAAGCAGCTCCTTGATTTAGATCCTTGCTTTGCTTAAATGCTAATAATGCTAACTAAATATGAGAATGACCAGAAAATAAATTAGTTATTTAGTGTTAGAATAACAAAGAATATTTAGAAAAATTAGAAGATTCTTTCTGAATGTACACATCTCCATCTTTCTATACTTTCTGGCCTACAAGTAGATCTCAAGTATTTAATAGGTAAAACAATTAACCATTAAAGAATATCATTCAGAAGTCCAAAAAGAGTCCTGAGAGTTTAGGGACTTTGCAAGAATGAGAAGATGTTTCCTATCCTCAGCCTTTCAAAATTCAAGAAAAAATATATGTATAAGAAAACAATTGAGGGGCTGGGGATGTGGCTCAAGCGGTAGCGTGCTCACCAGGCATGCATTCGGCCCGGGTTCGATCCTCAGCACCACATACAAAACAAAGATATTGTGTCTGCCGAAAACTAAAAAAAAAAAAAAATAATAATAATAATAATAAATATTAAAAATTCTCTCTCTTAAAAAATAAAGAAAACAATTGAAAAATTTTATGTGATATATGCTACAAAACATATATACTACCAAAGTGGTTTCAAGGAAACAAACAATAAGACTTCATAAATGGTGATACTTGGATTGTCTTAAACAATGAGTAAGAATTTAGCAATTTTGAGGAGGGCCATTTCAGGCAATAGTATATTTAGATGCTAGAAGGTATAGAACAACTGGATATGTTTAAGGAATTGCAAATAATGTGATATGGCTGAAGTATAAAGTAGATACAAAAGACCTGAGACTGGAAGAGTGCACAAGAACAAGACTGAAAATCATGTAAGCTGCTTCAAAGAGTTTGGACTTTATATTTGGAAATGATGAAATATGGATATTGAAAACTATTTCCAAATAATGAGAAAAAATAGACTGAATTGGAAGGAAGACTAAATGCAGTAAGGCCAATTGGAAAGCAATAAACTCATTTAGGAAAAAAATGACAACCCTCAAAAAAGGTAATTTGTATTGGGGTAGGAAGGGTCATGTTCAAAATATATTTAAGATGTTAAATCAAAACAACTGAGAGGAAACAGAAAGGCATGAAAGATGGATACTTTTCTCAATTAAGTATATGAAAGGTAGAAACAATCTTTCAACATGGAAAATACTGAAAAAGAAACAGCTTTAAGAGAAAAGAAAGTATGCTAAATTTGAGTTTGAGCTTCACACTCAATTGAAAAACATATCCCTTCTGGGGTTGCAGCCAATATTACCCATGCATTATTTATTAATTTTATTCCAATACAAACTAGAGAATACTCTTTCCAAGCTCATTGTAAGCTTATACTTTTTCAGAAATAATAATTATTTAAGTGAAGTTATTAACTCTAAGACACTTACGAATGTGTAAATAAGTATATTCTAATGTGGAACCTTTCACATAAATCTTAGGGTTTCTCTCTCCTCAAATGACTGCTTAGTTTGTCTATTGTATAATACCACCTTGTATCAAATATCAGGCATGTTTTTACATAGGTAGGGATGAGTTAGGAACAACAATGACAAAGCCCAACTGAAGCGATTCAGATTCCAGCTCAATCACTGATTATTCTTGAAAACTAGGGAATGCTTCTTCGATCCTTAGGCTTCCTTCTCCTCATCTCTACAACTAGAAAATAATGCTAAAGACACCATAGGCTACTGTGGAAATCAAATCAAACATGTTAGAACTTGTAAAACATTAGATTAGAACAGTGCCTGTCCTATAGTGAGCACTCAGTAAGTGTGAGATCTTACTATCAGAACTGCATTCTTTATTTCCATTTTCTTTATATTTCCATTCTTCAGTATAGCAACACAGTGTTTTGTTCAGGAGGTAGATTAGAAAATATCATTATGTGATATCTTCAGCTTTTTGTGCGTATAATTAGTATGAAGTATAGCAAAACAGAAAAGCTCTAATACTTTTCATTTGGGATTTCTGAGTGGATTGGACAAGAGTGACTGAAGTTGAAGAAACATGTGGACTCCCCAAGCCAGCCATTGCCTCTTTCTCTTTTATACATGGAAGTAACTCCTAATCATCAGAATGTGATACCAGATGAGCACTCTTAGGTATTTTCATTTATTTTTTTTTACTTTTGTTCCTTAGCCCAGTGAGATGACTGTTTACCACTGTCTGGTAATGTTTGGAATTCCATACTCCCCAAGATAGCACTATTTTCAAATTGCTTTCAATATCTTAACACTTGTTTACTGTTTCTGTTCATCAGAAGGTGATTTAAATATCTAAAAATAAAGTAGCATTCAACCAACACTATAGTCCTATTTATTGAGAAGAGCTAACAAGAAGCAAGCATCTTGTGACACATTAATAAACATGTGATTCTCCCTGAGGGGAATTTGCACACTCTCAAAACAGTGCATTCCACCATCATCAAACTTGTAGCATGACTGCTACATCTCTCTGCCTTCAGGGAAATAGTGTGGAATGGGGTAAATGGGATAAGGAGAATGCTCCTACAGGATTTAGGGTAAAATAATTAGCACATATTTCAGTTGGCTTTTATTGTTTATAACAGATGGGCTGCAGTCTAGGCAAAAACTTATGACTGCTGATTTCAATGCTTATTAAAATGGCTAGTGAGATAGAACATGCATGTGTACAGAGAAAAGTTTTATTTATAACTGAGACTTGACAATCAATTACTGTTTCCCATGAAGAAAATATTCATATGGACTTAAAAAATCTAGTTTTCTCTGACAAGGGTAACTTACCCAGCAGCATATACCATGTATACAGAACATATTGTACAAATAATTCCCATACGGTTACTTCTTTCAATGGCTTGAGGAACTCAATGCCTAATGAAGACAATGATTGGTCCAGATCTATTATCTAGTTAGTGGCAGGAGTAGGATTAGAATTCATATCTTTTAACATTTAATTCATTGGTCTATTCTATATGCTACTGGAAAGAATTAGCAGTGGGTTAGCACACAAATATTTTTCATGTATATGTGTGTGTGTGTGTGTATATATATATATATATATATACACAATTATGATATATATATGATATATATTATATGTGTACAAATAACAAATATTCATTGTCTATATATATATATATATATACATATTTAGCATTTAAAAGTAAAAAAAACAATTACTATCCCTAGTACCTGCTTTTATATTATTGTATATTCCAAAATTAATATCTCCA